TTGACTGGGACTCGTGATTTACAGTCTGCCGGCAGGTGGGTGGGAGGGGGGGGGGGGGCAGTGACATCAATACTGCAGCGGGGAGTTTGTCTGAGGCCTAGCTGAGGACACCGAAATACCACCCCCCCCCCTCCACTCCACTCCCTTCGACAGCGATACGCGTGCAGCTGTCTAAATATTGCTTCTCCCTCCTTCTGCTCTTCATCTCTCGCTCTCTTTCCTTCCTTCTCCTGGTCCTGGGATGAGTTCTGGAGGGACAACTGTCTCCGCCGCCGCGTCCGCATTTGGTGCTGGCTTCTCGTGTTATCAGTCTGGGGCCACATGGGGGGGGGGGGGGGGCGGGAATAACTCGCCTCTCTGAGCTAAAACCAGCCGCACACCTGTGGCACCCATTACCTTGTAGCTAACCACCATTGGATTACGCCCCGTGTGGCGGCCGGCGGTACATTTAGGGGTTTTTTTTGGGAGCACCGGGTCATCAATAAAATCACCGCGTGCAATTGTGCTTTTAACGCGGTTTCTGTAAGAAGCCCGTGGGGGAGGGGTGGGAGGGCAAACGGAGCCATTTAGAAGTTCTCCGCTTCTTTACTTGGTTTATTGGCTTCGCTCTCTACGCAAAAGCTCTCCCAGGTGGCATGAAATGTTTCATGGCCGCCCCGCTGCCTGCTTTCCTTCCGCTCAGACTCACAATCACCCCTCCCAGAAGAAGCTCCCACCCCGCTGTCAATTTGCACTCACTTACACTCCTGCTACCGTCATCATCAGCCATCAGTGTGGGGGGGGGGGGGGTAAGACAGCTGTTTTGCCTTGATGACTTAATCATCCCCTTCAGTGGGATTAGCATCAGTCTCATCAGTATCATCATCCTCATCGTCGCCTTTGATCCCCCCCCCCCAAAAAAAAATTACCAAACAAGTTTGAAATTGGTGACTATCAGCCGCAGATTCCGGGAGCAATCAAAAGGATGAGACTTTGCTGTACGGTATTCAGTTATGAGACGGAATATCATGAAATTGTGAAAAATGTTCATTTGAAAGCTGTTGAATTGTACTTCACACAGTTGTTAAGGCTACAAATGGCCGCATGCCGTATCTGTAAAGACAAAAGCATTCTTAGTTTTTCGTCAACTGCGGTTTCAGATCGTTTTAATAGAGATAAATGTAAAACTAGTAGCTTGTTCAGCCTCTTTAGGCAAATGTCACATATTTGATGCTCTCCCAAGTGTTGGAAAGATCTCATATCGTCGTATTGTCTTTTCACGTTGCCATTTGATATATTCTTATTCATAAAAATCCTGATGATAGGTGCTTTAATTGCTTTATGTAAAACAAAAGTAAAAACAAAGGGTAGTACAAAAACCACTGGGATCTGGACTGCTGTAAATAAATGTTCAAACTCAGACCAGCCGATTGGCTAATTGAGGGGCCCCGCGGCGCCGCCGCCACTGTCATCACTTCATTAGCTCTGCGTAGATTAAAAAATGGCACATTTAGCCGCCTGTTTTTTGTTCTACAACAAGAATGTACCGGGCCTAATGAGACCACACTAACAGCTTTCAGGGACAGAGAGAAACGCAATAATACCACCAGGCGGGAAAAGCAGCGCGTTAATGTGGTCGTATTCAACAAGTGGCATTGAGGTGGGCCCTTCACAGGCAGCTTCATTTACACCGTGCCATTAATTCATATGTTGGCTCGTTAAACGCTGCACGTCCGCTCTAATGTTCCTTCAAAGGAAGCAAGAGCCTCACAATTTGGTGAAAACGATTTTTTTCCCCAAAAAAGGTTCCGTTCAGTTAGATTATGGTGCCTTCAGGCTCTGTTTATAGACAATAAATGGAGGGAAGAGATATCGGCTATAAACGTGTCGCGACGCGTTGACGTGTAATTTGTGTAATGTGACAATGAAGATGAATTATGAGCTGTTGCCTTTAACCATCTTACAAGTCATCATCCAAACTACTAATCCCAAGGTTTTAATCAATAAAAATACAATATTTTGTTTCATTAGCATTCGAATTATGAGTTTATTATGAGAAAAAAAGTTAAAAGGCAGCATTTAAAGCCCCCCATCACCACCACCCGCCCGTCGACCAAACTAGCTCTGGCGTGCCACCGACTGTCCCCAGCGGGTCGCCTCTTTAAGGCCGGTTTGGGGGGCGCGCCGCGTCTATTTTTGGTTCCAGCACACTGAGAGTACTGTGTGCACATTGCCGCTCTGTTCCTGGAGCGGGCAGGCCGGGGGTCACCGGCAGGCGCCACGGGGGGGATAGCTCCGCCTCTGCTCCCTGACCTCGGCCCCCCCTCCAGCTCCTACACACGTGGGAGATACCTACAAGATTCCCGGGCGCAGCTATCTCCCGAAATAAAAAATAAATAAAAAAAGAGGCGCTTTCTTGACGGATGCCATGTCCGTCCGCCGCTCTCTCCCTCCCGGGACTAATAGGCTAATAATTCATCTGTCACCCTGGCATGTTATCTCGCAGTCTCTCAGGGGGGAGAATACCAGTGCGGAACATCTACGCCGCAGTCTCAGCTCGCACTAGTTCCCCCCCCCGGGTTGCTCTCCAGCTGAAGGTACTGTGGAGAAGTGGCATCAGATCCCACATGAGCTGCAAGTACTGAGGAAAAGACCAGACGGGTGAGATGATGGATGGATCACAGAGTATCCGTGGATAACCGCTCCCTGCTAAGACCCCGTCAGTACGAGTAGGGTATCTACTGTGGAGAAGTACCTTGTATTTACTGTCCACTTCTACACGACATGTGAGAATACCGGTTAGATGAGAAGAATAGAAATATTGAATGAAGTACGAGTTAATAGCATAACATACTGAAGAATACTCTCAAAAGTAGTATCTAGTTTACATTTAATCTCAGTCTTTTATAGCGAAAAATGCAACACTGTCTTGTCCATTTTCATCTAAATGACAAGCTCAAAAGTAGCTCCTAGAAGAACTTTTTGGAGTGTGAAATTGACAGCACCTGCTCCAGGGGTGCTGAAGCGTGGGCGACGGGAGACGGCCCGCATCCTCAGAAGAAGAAGACGACCTCGTCACTCCGACCTGCATGTTAAACTCTTCCCGGCTCTGCCGTTGTTGAATAAAGCAAGATAATAATCCTCCTAATAGGCTGGACAGTTTTCAAACTTGGGAGTTAAGTGTCGGCCTTTGCCGTCTTTGTTTGCCCGCAGAGGGGAGGCGGAGATGTGTGCCCCGAGGCCCTCCGTCCTTCCTGTTCAGTTGCCAGAGGCCTCACACTTATCAGTTCCAGATCTCGCACAACAGAGAGAAAGGAAGACCACTGACAGGAAGGGGATTTCTTCTTTTTTCTTTCCACCTCACCATTTCTCCCCCCGCCCCTCTAACAGAATGTCTGCACCCCTCACATTTCACAGCGGAAAGCAATTATTCGTTAGGGCTTGCGCAGCGGAGACAAAGACCAACCTGGACACCTTGAGACAAAGACCAACTGACGTTAAACTGGGTTACAAAACTCTCTAGTGCTGAGAGGAGCGAGTCGCTCAATCGATTGGTCCATTTACAGAAAATACCTTGTTAACGGCTCCCATCCCCCAACGTTTATCACCATTTTTCGAGCAAAAAAACATCTGGTTTTGGGTTCCAGCTGCCCAAGGATTTTTTTCATTTCATTGCCTAAACAAAAAAGTAAGAAATAGCAAAGAACAATCAATAAAAAAGTAATACTCATTAGATAAAGGCCTACACACGCTTCATTCAGATCCATACGTCCTGGGAGATCACGCTTCTCTCGTCCACACATTTCCTTTCACTGCGACCTCAAACGCAGCCAGAAAGGCGACAGCGAGGAGGGGGGGGGGGTATGTCACAGGGAGCGAGTGAACTGAGCACTCACGTCATTGCGCTTCGCTCTCAGCCGCCTCCCTCCCCTGACGTTCCCACAATAATCACTTTGGTTTATCCCACTCAGCTGTGTGGTCGCCAGATGTTTGTCGGGCAACCATGTTTCTCGGGCATTCACACTGATGCTTTAATCAAGATTAACCACTCTTATCTATCCGCCGCGTGGCCGTGCGCGTGTGTGTGTGTGTGTGTGTGTGTGTGTGTGTGTGCGTGTACACTGGATGTCCCAATTCCTAATCCACAAAGCCATAGCTCTATTGTATAATACAGTGGACCAACCAATTACATTCCCTTTCCACCGCATAATTCTCCCTTTTAGCCGAGCGTACCCTGAGCCACATATTGCGTAAGGATAAAAACTGGTGGCTCGCGGGGCGAAGAGGATTGCCATGACCTTCTTCTGTGTGCGTGTGCAGGAGGAGTGTACATGGACTCGGATGTAGGCGGGGGAACATAAACACACGCAACGTCTCAGCACTTTGTTAGTCACAGCGCCACCCTCCCTCCTCCCCCCCCCCCCCCCGGGGAGCTCTTGATGAGAACCAACGTGCTCCGCAAGGTGAGTCGCCGCTGACCACACACACACACACACACACACACACACACACACACACACACACACGCTGCCGTCAGATGTTTACCGAAGACACTGGAGCACAGCGGACGGCGGAGCATGTCCGGGGCAAACAAAGTTGTACTCTTTAAATCAACTGCAGTGACAGGGGAGGCCCGATATCGTCTTACCCTAACAAGCTTTGTGTGATTCCAGGGAAAACGAGTCTCGGGTTACTGAGAAGATCCTCACACAGCCGACAAGCGCAAGGACATAAAATGTTTCCTGTCTCTGCGAAAAAATGAGTCATTCCTGCTCTTGTTTTCAGGGAACAATAGTGGATATTTGCGCTGGGTGCAAGTTCGCCAAACTTGAACCTGGTGTGACAGGTGACAGATTAGCGCCACATACCAGAGCAGGCGAGGGAGGCGAGCGCACACCACACACACAACATTTCAGAGCACACCTTTCTTAATTTGTAACCCCCCCACCCCTCGACCCCCCCCTGCCGGGTCCTGCAGAACGCACCACATGAGAAGAAAAAAAATAAATAAAAAGACGTACCTGAATCCTTGATTCTTCACCACGAAGGACCCCCCCCGCCCATTCACACACCGGGAGGAGAAACACTTCAGCGCCTCACGTCTTCGGCCCCTGGGAGGAATCAGAGAGGGAAGGGAAGGGAGGGGGGGGCATCAATCAGCGCCACATTATCCACCGATCTCTAAACACTGAATTATTACATTTGCATTTTTTTTTATCCCCCCCCCCCCTCTGAAAATCAAGCCCACTCGATGGTTTCGGTCCTGGCGGATTCCTTCGGGCTCCGAGTGGCTTCCATCTGCGCCTCGCCTAACGTGATACACTTCTCCCCAGCGCGGGTAACATCCTTCACGCCCTCGTGCCCATGAAGGACGAATGGAAAATAAATAACATAAAAAATGTAAAAAAAGCAACCGATGATCAGTGCGGTATCATAAACATCCACCCAGTAAGCTCATCGCCATGGCGCTTTCACAATTCACTCCTGATTGACAGATAAGCCTATTAAGAGAGACCTTCAGTATAGCTTTGCACTTAGCGTGAGCTGGGAGTGCGCAGTGACATTCAGAGCCTTAAAAAAACCACCACGTTAGTTATTGCCGAGGTTCAAAAGGTGATATCCGCTGTGTGAGAAACCATTGCGTATAAGCCACTTAAGGACTTAACATGATAACTCAAATGATAAAGACTTAAGTTTTTAAAGGGGGGGGGGGGGGGGGGGGCACACAGTTTATAATACTGTGTTGTATGCATCTATTTCCAACCGAGCGAGTCCGCTGACTTGAATTAACCGTCGTGATCATTAGAAATATGTGAGCGCGTGCTGGATTCTAGCGCGTGTTATCTTTTTACTCCTCCAAATTTTTGAACTGAGACATTTGGCGGGTGTCCTTGCTCCGCCTTTGTGAATGTGAGCGTGGGGGGGGCGACCGGCGTCCCTTCTTTTTGCAGCCTTAAAGTCTAAAGCTGCATCCTGTTTGTGTATCGTTGTCACAAAGCGTCTGCTTAGTGACACGCAGCATGGGAGCCACTTCTACAGCTTCCCCTGAGCTCATGATATGGCTGACAGGACGAGGCTAATGCTCCAAATATTTTAAAAAAGCCGTGTACCCACAAGGGGATTTTCACATTCAGCAGGAGAACGGAAAACCCTTTATTCAATCCCTGTTTTTTTTTTAATCATTGGAAGATTTTTCAGGCAGTATTTCTTTCCCAGTTGGAAGCGCCGTTTTCTGAAAAGAGAAAGTGAAGGAGCGCTGGGGGCTCAATGGGTCGAGAGGAAGGAGGAGGAGGAGGAGGAGGAGGAGAAATGCTGGGTGCCTCCTTTTTAAAGCCAGATTCTCCCCAGATACCTCTGTGCTATTCATCAACAGCTTTTTCCAGGGCTGTGAAAAATCAATGTGCTCTGCACTGCAAACAGTTCATAATGACGGGGGGACGGAGGAAAGAAAGCTCAACTGCAACAGAATTGATTTGTTTAAGTACAATAACACGGCTCCGCAGCGCGTGAGGAGGAGGAGGCCCAGACAAAGACTGACTGGCAGTATGAAACCACGAGCAGTAATTGACAAACTGCTGGCAAAGTGCAAATCCAAAATGCCGTTATCTAATTAAATGAGTTTTGTTCTGAATTACCACCTGACAAAGGAAAACACACTTTCAAGTGGCTGCATAAAAGCCCCAAATAACGGCTTCTTTTTAGCTATCGTTAAATGATTTAAAAGAAGATTCATACATGAGTGTATTTTTCACTAATGTTTGAGCATTGATTAATAAGTTCCAAGAGCTGGAATACATTTAAATTGCAACCGACAAAACAAAAAAAAAAATTTGATTTACATTCTGGAAACTGGAACCCGCCATCTTGCTGTATAAACAACTTTAACGGTAGCCTAGCAACCCCAATTGATATGTTTCCTCTAATGTAATGACACACATTGAAACCATGTTCACACACACACACACACACGCTTGAATCGTGTGTGCAACTCCAACACGGACACACACACACACGTATTCTTTGTACTATTGGCAGGGAGTCACGTACATCGAGCCAATTGAAAGCACATGCAGAGAGGGTTTGATGTTGCATAAAGCAAAGTCATCAGAATGTCTAAAAGATGACACACGGCTTCGCCGAGAAAAAATAATAAACCTTCACAAGGTGAGATTTTCAACGTCCTGATACTGCAAAAAAAAAAAAACAGAAGCCGGGAGTAAATTGTGTCAAGACAGGCCAGCACAATAAAACATTTCTCTTGAGCCGGCCACAGAGGTGCATTTATCATTGTTATTATTCCTTCAGAGAGAGGCCCTCCCAGGTTTAATTGGGTCCTCATGGAGTCAAAATCCCCGCCTGCCGCTGCAGACCTCTGGAGCCGGACAGACTCACGGACAGACTCATTCCTTCATTCGTGCTCCGTGCAACACGCCCGTAAAAAAAAAAAAAAAAAAAAACTCGGTGGGAGCTGGACGCCACCCGCCGAGCGGAGACACACGGCGGGGAGGGAGGGGGACACCTGGGGAGTGAGTCTCACCTGGCTCGACTCTGGATGCTGTGGGAAAAGGCTCTTGAGAGCCACAGGCCGTCCGTCCAGAGAGCCAGTTCTTTGCAGCCATTATGTGGCTCATTTGCATTTTAACTTCGTGCTAACAAATAGAACTGGGGAGGGATTAAAGAGGGGGTGGGGTCGGCCTCAATGAAAAAAGGGAAACAATGGGCTGAGGTGATAAAATAGCTCAGACACCAACATGCCGAGCTACTTAGCATTAGTGTTAGTGTTGAATATGCCGTTGGCCGAGTGAAACTAATGATGATCTCAGTAAATATCATCTCGGAGACTTTCGACCCGCCGCTCAGCTCCCCCCACAGCGCTCCGCTTCCATTCGCTGTGACGTTGGCACAGAAATCACGGCGCCTCCTCCAGGCGGCTTCCTGTTGCCGATACGCTCGAGACAAGATATGTGCAAGATCAAACGAGACACGGATCCCTCGCTTTTCCGAAAGGACGCGCGACAAAGGTGCTCCGAGTCAAAGGGGGGGAAGGGAGGGGGGGGGCTGGAACGGCAAACTGGAGTGACAACCCCGTCGCTTGTAATGATGTTAAAAAAGGATTGTGTAGAGACACGATTGTAACCCCCTCTCCCAGGGTGTCTACACCATACACCTGTAACTCCTGTCATGTAACACAAAAGGTTAAGTTTCATGTTTTGTAGATGGGCCCTGACTACTCGATTCCACTGGGCGTTACATCTCAATGTAAAGCAGGTTGTAACCAAACATCGCCACTGTTATACTGTGGAAATAACGGCCGTGTGTAACCAAGAAACTCCGATTAGCTTCACGAAACCCAGGGTTGCCTGGTTCGTAATGTAGCAACGCGCAAAACTGAGGATCACCGGTATTGGACTGGTGAGGTTTGGTAATGCCCGTACGTACAGCGCGGGCTTTAAGCATCTACAGCGCTGACACCAGAGTTGAGGGCAGCAGAGGAGGGATTGAACATCTCCCAACACGCATGCTGCTGGTGTTTCAGGACACGCATATGGGGGGGATTACATCGGACGGAGAGATAGTTAGGATTGGGTTTGCAGTGATGAGTGCAGGTTTAAAGGAAATGCCTTTTAGCGTAATACATTTAGAGGGCATGAGGCCGCAGCTCAGTTAGCTTTCAATCTTCCCTTTCTACTGATTAACATAAATGCCTTGTTAACCAACCCTGCTGTAATTATGTGCTGCCTCACACACACACACACACACACACACACACACATGACCTATACATCACACAGAGGCAAACCCCCCCAGTATAAAACAGCAGTGCAAGCAGATCAGCATCACAGCAACTACCAATTATTTGTCTTATTCATGCAAATGCAGGTAATTTACTTCCTGCTGTGCACAACTTCCCAACGCGTTTTCCCCCCCAGCATCGGATGTTTGTAATGAATTAATTCCAAAAAGGATTCTCTTTCAATTGTGAATCATTTTTAAAGTTTCATTTAACATGTTGATTACAAGTTTTCGGGACACTTTCTTAGATAACGCATCAAAAATGTCTGGTCACTCACTGACTTATATTTAATGATATATATAATTATAAAGTAAACCAAAGTGGATCTCAATTGGCATGGTTGTAATACAATTGTAATATCATTATAATCACTGCAATGACGTTCAAAATCAAAACACCTGTAATGATACAGTTCAACAAACAGATTGTTTATTATGAAAGAAATGACAAAATAAGTGATGTACATGGGAATCCTAGAAAGTGTTACTGCTCCCCAGATTTCTTTTAGTAGTTTCCACTGTACTCATCATTTGCTACAATAAAGCCCAACGAGACAAGAAATGAGCAGTCAGACAATCAGGCGCTTTTGTAAACGAGCCGACAGATTAACCAGAGTGTTGGAGTCACTTAAACTGAAAGTGAGTGGTTACAACTATTATTTTCACAGGAGAGCTGCCAGTGCTCAATTACAGAAAGTATAGTGCATCAACGTCAGTCTTTAAACAGGACTGCAGTTACATCCAATTAAGAGTTATGGAAGCGGCAGCTCGCTAACCGGTTACCATTCCTGAAAAAAAGATGTCTTTAAACACACTTGCTTTCCATTTCAAAAGGAGGGCTACTTATGATATTTACATGGATGGATGCCTCCCCCCCCTCCCTCTTCAGTATATCTTGTTTCAAAAGCGAGGCGTTTTCATTCCTTTGTCTCCGGTCTTTCCCTATCAGAGCGAGAAGGTAGCAACTCCCACGAGGGAGACGGAGATAGAGGTGAGCGCTGCCGGGGCGCTGGAGCAAAGAAATGCTGCACCGTCTGACCACAGACACAGAAACGACACCTCCTCCCCTCCCCAACTCTACCCCCCCTCCCTCCCCAATCTCTGTCCTCCTGCATCTGCAAAGCAAATCGTGTGGCCCTGCAGCGAGATGTCCCTTTTTGCTCACCGAAATGTGGGCCCCCCCCCCCCCGCGGGTTTAAGAGGTGAGGGACTTCCTAATGTAATGGAGACAAGCAAGACGGAGAAACAGAGGGGAGATCGTCCTGAGCCAATTGCAAAGGAGAGGTGGGTGTAATGAGGCCTGATCTGTCACAAGAAA